CGGCAAACCGCCTGCAGACACCCGGCAGCAGCAGCAGCAGCAGCAGCAGCAGCAGCAGCAACCTACTCCCCAACACCCGGACTGTGGGGCCCCAGAGGGGCCCCCGCTCCCCAAACCCGCGGGACGGGGGCCCCTCGGGGCCCCCGGGGGGGGGGCCCCCCCGCGGGCGCGAGCAGCAGCAAACAGGACACAGCAGCAGCAGCAAAAGGGCACTGCCTCCCGCTGCATGCAAGAGCCGCACTCCCCGCGAGGGGCCCCCACAGGGGGAGGCCCGCGGAAAAGCCCGCACGGGGGGCCCCCCGCTGCTGCTGCGGCCCCGGGGGGCCCCCGTGCAGCAGCAGCAAAAAAAAGAAGAAAAAAGCAGCCGAGGGGCAGCAGCGGCTGCAGCGGGAGAGCGCGCGCTGCAGCAGCGAAGGCCGCGGCGGCGGGCGGGAGGGAAATGGGGAATTAAAATGCAGATTTTCTCACCTCTTAGTGACGGAAAAGAAGAAAATTAAATATTGGAAAGTTCAGTTCTCGAGGCGGCCGCGAGGAAGCAAGCAGGCGCGCCAAAGCAAGGACTGAACGAACCGTTAGGTGGTCGCCAAAGATGGGCACCTCTGCTGCAGCGGAGGGAAACAGAGAAGCTGCCGCGTCTACCCGGCAGACAAGGAGAAATAAAAAGAAAATAAAAAAGAAATGCCAACTTTGCCCTTGAGACGCTGCAGCTTTCCTCAGCAGCCCCTGCGGGTCTGCATCGCAGCAACCCACTCCTGCTGTACGTACAGCTGGGCTCTGCGCAGCCCGCCACCCGCACTTCCGGCACTTCCGATCCTCCCCCAAAAAATAGTCTTTTTGCGCCAAATAAAGTCCCTAGAGCTATCATTTGCCATTTCCAGCCTATCCCGCGCTTTACTTTTCTTCACAACGCCTCCTGTGGGGCGTGATCAGCCCCAGCCGCCACCACTTGGGTGGCCGCCTCCGCAGCCGCCGCAAACTTGAACGCCGCCACTTCTCGCCGAAACCCTCGCCAATTCCCCCAACTCGCAGCCTTTTTTCCTCTTATTTCCCTTTTTGGACCCTCTGGAGGCTCCCAATTCCTCGCTGCTGCCGCCAGCTGCCTCTTCTCCCGCGTTCAACTTCCAAGGCTGCCGCCTCCAGCCCCCCCTGGGCGCCCTTCGAAGCCGCTCCGCAGCTGCATGCACCAAAATCAGAACTGGGGGCCTCCGTAGGGCCCCTTTCTGCGGCTGCAGGAGCTGCTGCTGCAGCAGCAGCAGCAGCAGCAGCGGTGCTGCATGCGCAGCAGCTGAAGTTGAATTCCAGCTGTCTTCCTCGCGAGAGAGGCGCCGCCATGGACGGAGAAGCAGCAGCAAGTCTCTTGCGTCTCGGTGCTGCAGCTGCCCCGCGGGAGTCCCACTCGAACTGCAGCAGCGGGAGCCGCAGCAGCAGCAGCAGCAGCAGCAGCAGCAGCACTGCAGCAGCCTGAGCCAAAATGACTGCGGGCCGCACCCCGGCCAAGCCGCAGCGGCAGAGAGCAGCAGACGGCCTCTTCCGCTGCTACAGATGCCCCGGCGAGTTTGCTGCTGCTGCAGCACGAGAAAAGTGCTGCCGCAGCTGTTTGCTGCTGCTGGTCCGGCGCGCCTTTGCTGCAGAGTTCGCTGGCTTGCGGCAGAAGCTCGCGGAAGAGCAGCAGCAGCAGCAGCAGCAGCAGCAGCAGCAACAGCAGCAGCAGCAGCAGGATGGTAGCGCATGCAGCAGCAGCAGCAGCAGCAGCAGCAGCAGCAGCAGCAGCACAGAAGGGCCGCCGCTGTACATTGCGCTCTCAGGCGGAGACGCGAGCCTCTCGCTGCTGCACTTGGCGGCGGAAGCAGTTCAGAAGCGGCAGCAAGTGCGGCGCATGCAGCAGCAGCAGCAGCAGCAGGGGGCTTTGCCTTCGAACTGGAAGCAGCAATTAAGGCCCAGTGGCCCGCCGTCCGCTGCGTGCTGCTGCACCCGCTGGGGCTGCAGCTGCTGCGGGGGGCGGGGGCTGAGGTGTACGTACACCTGGACGGCCGCCGCTGCAGCGCGCAGGAAATAAAAGAAATTCAAAAAAAAGAATTTAAATTAAAGTTGCTGCTGGCGCGCACTTTCCAGGCCGACAAAGCAGCAGCCCAGAGGCTCTGCAGGGCCCTCCGGTGAGGCTCCTCACAGCAGCAGCAGCAGCAGCAGCAGCTGCTGCTGCTGCTGCTGCTGCAGCAGCACAAGTGCAGCGGCTGCTGCAGCAGTTGCGACAGCAGCACAAGTGCAGCAGCTGCTGCAGCAGTAGCAACAGCAGCACAAGTGCAGCAGCTGCTGCAGCAGTAGCAACAGCAGCAGAAGCTGCAGCAGCTGCTGCAGCAACACGAGCAGCAGTTTGCTTCTTGCTGCACGTATTTCTTGCCTTTTTAATCCCTCTAGCTGCTGTTAGTGCTGCACTATTTGCTGCTGCTGCTGCTGCTGCTGCTGCAAATGTGGAGTTTTCCACTTTTGGATATTTTGCATTTATTTTTTTGCTTCTTTTCGCACATGTGCATGCATTATAAATAAAAATACATTTGTTTATTTGCGCTTATTTAAGTGAAATAAATAATAAAAATTATTTAAAAATAAATAAAAATAAAATATTATTTTTGGCAGCAGGCGCTGCAGTCTTGGCTTTAGTTTTGGCTTTTCTGCAGTTTATTTTGCTCTTGAGAAAAGCATTTATCTTGAAAATGCCTTTTTTTGAATGTTTGTGTTTTTAATTAATCAAAATGCCAAAAATAAACCAAAAAAAGACCTGCAGCAGCAGCAGCAGCAGCTGCTGCTGCTGCTGCTGCTGCAGCTCGTTTGGGTGTCTGTACACCTGGGCGCCGTGCGGAGTGAATATATCAGTTTTAGATCGGCAGAGCAAATAAGAGCAATTATTTTTGTTAATTTTAAATATTTATGCATTATTTTAAACATTTATTGTTTATTTTTAACATTTATTGTTTATTTTAACACTTATTGTTTGTTTTGTTTCTGCTGCTGCAGCGTCCGGGCGCTGCGGGCTTTCTGCGCGCAGCAGCGGCTGCTGGGGTGTACGTACACCCCAGTTGTCTGCAGCGGCGAGTCCACTTCTGCTGCAGCTCTTTCGGTCTTGGAAAGAATTTGCTACGGAGAGGGCAGACTGCTGGCCATGGAGGCGGCCCCCGTGGACGACAGGTGAGGGTTTAGGGTTTAGGGTTTAGGGTTTGGGGTTTAGGGTTCGGGGTTTAGGGTTTGGGGTTTAGGGTTTGGGGTTTGGGGTTTAGGGTTTGGGCGCTGCAGCCAGAGGCCGAGTTTGCTTGCGCCCCACGGCTAGCCTCCAGCCCCAGCCCGCATGCATATGCGCATGCATGCATGCAATGCATGCATGCATGCATGCATGCAAGTAACGCATGCATGCAAGCAACGCATGCATGCATAGGATGCATGCATGCGCGCAATGCATGCGTGCACATACTGCGTGCGTCCACATAATGCATGCATGCACACACTCCATGCATGCATGCATGCATGCATTTATGTCCAGCCCCACTTTTTCGTTGCCGTGCATGCAGGGAGTGCCCCGTCTTCCGCCTGTGCCGGCCTCTGGTGTCTCTACACAAAAAGGAATTGGCCCTTTTTCGCCTCTTCGAAAAACTCCCCCAAATCTCCACAAAACCCTTTTCGCTTTTGGGGGACTTTCTGTATGTTCCCAAGCCCCCACACGCCCTGGGGGCCCCCCAGGGGGCCCCCCCGGGGGGCCCCCGGGGGGGCCCCCAGGGGGCCCCCCAGGGCTGCCCTCAGGAGGGCCTCCAAGGGGGCCCCCAGGGGGGCCCCCAGGGGGAACCCCAAAAGGGCTTTCAAGGGGCCCCCGTTGGAGGGGGAGGGTTTGTTTTTGAATGGGCGGAGTTCTGTGCTGCTGGAGCTTTGGGAGTTTCTGTCGGGGGTTTGCTGCAGCAACGGGGCCTCTCTTAACAATCTTTTGAGTGCAGTCAAAAGTCTAGAGGGGCCCTTCGAGGGCTGGAGAGGGGGGCAGCAGCGTGAGACCCGCACTGCAGCTAGCTAGCTAGCTAGCTAGCTAGCTAGCTGGCTGGCTAGCTAGCTAGCTGGCTGGGTGGCTTGCTAGTTGGCTAGCTGGGTGGCTAGCTGCGTAGGTAGCTAGCCACTCAGCTGGATAGCGAGTTTGCTTGCCAGCTAGCCAGTCAGGTAGCTAGCTAGCCAGCCAACTAGCTAGCCAGCCAGCTAGCCAGCCTGCTACATATGTAGCTAGCCAGCTAGCCAGCCTGCTATATATGTAGCTAGCCAGCTAGCCAGCCTGCTATATGTGTAGCTAGCCAGCTAGCTAGCTAGCTAGCCAGCTAGCCACTCAGCTAGCTAGCTAGCTGCGTTGGCTGCTGGGTTTGTGGGCCTTCTGCAGCTTGTCGACTTTGCCGCAAAGTGCCGATGGTGGATTTGGCAAAGACACTGGAAGAGCCTGGAGTCTTCACTCCGCAGCAGCGCCAAGTCAGCTAGGGTTTAGGGTTTAGGGTTTAGGGTTTAGGGTTTGGGGTTTAGGGTTTAGGCCAGTTGCAAATAGGAGAGTGAGGAGGCGCCGCAAGTAAACAATAAAACCACAAGTCAGGGTTTCTGTGGCTCTGAGGCCGAGGCACCGCCTCGAGCGCAGCACAAAGGCAGCAGCAGCAGCTGCTGCTGCTGCAGTTGCTGCTGCTGCTGCAGTTGCTGCTGCTGCAGCTGCTGCTGCAGTTGCTGCTGCTGCAGCAGCAGCAAGGCGATTCTGAGTGCAGCAAAGGCGGCAGCAAATGGCAAGAAGGAAAAGGACAAAAGGAGTTTTGTTGGCTTTTGTTGCTGCAGGTGTTGGAAGAAGTGCTGCAGCTGTGGGGCCCCACTTTGGGGCTTTGCTTTGCATGCATGCGTTTGGCCACTGCTGCCAGCAGCGCAGCAGAACTTCTCTTTTCCTTTTGTTTGCTTCCCGAGGTCCACTGGTCACCCCACACTGACCACTGCAAAAGGCCCTTTTAGTCCACTCCAGCCAGGGAAGCGCACACCCACAAAGCCCGAAAAACGCATGCATGCATGCATGCATGCATGCATGCGTTTTTGGGGCTTTGCGGGCATGCATGCATGCATGCATGCATGCATGCATGCATGCATGCATGCGTTTTTGGGGCTTTGTAGCGACATTGAAGGGGCCCCGAGGCCCCCGCAAGTTGTGGGGGCCCCCTGGGGCTTCCTCCGGAGTGCCAGGGGGCCCCCAAGAGGGGCCCCCTGAGGACCCTAGGGGGCCCTTGGGGGCCCCCAGGGGGCCCCTGTGGGCCCCAGGCGCCCGAGCCCTTGAGTGCTAGGGTTTAGGGTTTAGGGTTTAGGGTTTTTTTTTTTGGATTTTTTTTGAAGAGTTTTTTAGGGGAGCGTTTGCGTTTGGACTTGCTTTTAGTTTTATGGTTTTCCTCTTCGCTGCTGCTGCTGCTTGCAGCGTCGCTGGGGCCCCCCGCTGCTGCTGCTGCTGCTGCTGCTGCTGCTGCTGCTGCTGGTTTGGGGCCCTCGGAGACAGACTCGAACATATCTCCCCAGCGGCTGTTGAGCTGCTGAATGTCGAAGTCATTATTAGTTTCGAGATCACAGAGAAATTGTTGAGAAGTGTCTTCTGTGCTGCTGCTGCTGCTGCTGCTGCTGCCTCTCCCGCGTTTCCTTTTGCTGCTGCTGCTGCTGCTGCTGCTGCTGCTCGCCAGCGCAGCCAGCCGCTTCGCCTCTTTCTTGCTTTTGCTGCTGCTGCGCACTTCAGCAAACCACCGCCCGAATTTGCTGTTCCGCACTTTGTAAACAATCCACTTGAAAAAATTCACCACCGCCTGCGCGCACACACGCTGCTGCTGCTGCTGCTGCTGCTGCTGCTGCTGCTGCTGCTGCTGCAGCAGCAGCAGCTGGGGTGGGTTTGGCTCGGCAGTTCGAACCCGCTAGCTAGCTGCCCGGCAAAGAGCTCAAAGGGTGTGCAGAGGCGCAGCGCCACTCAGCAGCAGCAGCAGCAAGAACAGCAGCAGCAGCAGCAGCAGCAAAAACAGCAGCAGCAGCAGCAGCAGCAAAAACAGCAGCAGCAGCAGCAGCAGCAAAAACAGCAGCAGCAGCAGCAGCAGCTAGCCCAGGCCACCCCAGGGCTGCCCCCTAACCCTAAACCCTAAACCCTAGCCCCAAACCCAAGCAGCCTACGCCCCCCAAGCCCTCCCCCCAGCCGAAACCCTAAACCCTAAACCCTAAACCCTAATCCCTACCCCCAAACCCTCCCCCCAAGCCCTAACTTAGCCCACGCCCCCAGGCCTCCCGCAAACCCTAAACCCTAAACCCTAAACCCTAAACCCTAAACCCTAAACCCTCGGTACCATCTCGAGTCTTTCGAGGAACTTCCAGTGGGAGCTGAGGATGATGTAAATGGAAACGGCGGGGCCCACGAAGGAAGACAAACTGGCCATTGCCACAGCTTTGAAAATAATAAAAATGGCAGTTAAAACTGGAGAAGCAGAAAAGGGGGGAGTTTGGACGAGATTGCCGGGGTCTTGGGGTGTATGTACACCCGAGCCCCACCCCACAGACCCGTCCAGGCAAATCCCCATGGGCCCGCAGCTGCTGCTGCTGCTGCTCGCCAGCCCCGACTGGTTCGCCACGCTGCTGCTGCTGCTGCTGCTGCTGCTGCTGCTGCTGCCCAGCAGCGAGTCCAGGGGGGACTGCGCCACCGAATTCAACTGCGCTACCACTCTGAGTTTAAACAGATCAAAAAAGTTTAATTTTTATTTTTGGAAAAATATAAATAGTTTAATTCTATTTAGCTATTTGAAGAACTAAATGTAATTAAACTATTAATTAACATATTTTAAGTTTTTCTTAAATAGTTTAATTGCATTTGGTTACTTTGATAAATAAATAGAATTGAACTGGTTAAAGAAAACTTTAAATAGTTTAATTGGGTTTTTTTATTTAGAAAGAGGTGAAGAAAACTTTAAAATGCCTTATTGTTTGAAAGGAAACCGTAAAAAGCTAAAAGAGTTTAATTATTTAAAAAGAGACAAAAAGAAAAGTCGAAAGAATTAATTAATTTAAAAAGAGACAGAAAGACAGTCTAAAGGAAATAAAGTATTTAAAGCGGAGAGAAAGAAACTTCAAAAGAATTAAATAATTTAAAAGAGGCAGAAGGGGACTCAGAAAAAAATTAAGAATTAAAAGAGGGAAAATTAACTTTAAAGGAATTAAACAACTAAAAGGAGACACAAAGAGACTTTGAAGAGGAAAGGGAATTAAAAAGAGACATAGAAGGGACTTTGGAGGAAATAAATAATTAAAAGAAGACATAAATGGGACTTTGAAGGAATAGAGAATCAAAAGGAGGCAGAAAAGGACTTAAAAGGAGATAAATATATATTTAAGTATATAAAATATATGTGTAAATAATACACATAATATATATATGTGTATATATATATGCATATATATTTTATATACTTATATATATATATGTATATATATATATATATATACATGTATATATGTGTAGAAAAGAAACCAAAAGAGAGCAGGGGAGAAGAAAAAAGAGAGAATGAGAAAAAGTTTAAAAAAGAAAAAGAAGGAAAAAAGAAAAAAGAAAGAAGGGAAAGATGCAAAGAACAGAAGCAAAGAAGAAAAGAAGAAAAGAAAGAAGCAAGCCCCGAAAGGAAGAAGAAAGAAGTGCATGCGCATGCATCTGGGGTGTACGTACACCCCAGGCGCATGCATCTGGGGTGTACGTACACCCGGGACTCACGAGGCGACGGTGGTGGCGAGGAAAAGAGCAAGTCCAATCCAGCCGAAGATTTCTGCAATGCGATCACTTCTTCTTTTTTCAATCCAAGAAATAATCATTTGTCCCAAGAAAGGAGCTTGGGAAAGCAGGAAGTTTCCGTAGTTGCGGAAGCCGAGGTGTACGTACACCTGGCCGGCGAAGTGCGCGGTGTAGGTGTACATACACCCCGCGCCGAAACGCACCGATTTCAGCGCTTTTTTTTGCGCTTTGTCCAGAACATTTTCCAACAAAGTTCTTCCCAAGTCTCCTCCCGCCACAACCATTCGAAAGGAGTTTATTTGGAGAGGATCCATGAGTCCTTTTTGCCACTGGGGGCTTCCGAATTGCTTTTCTTTTCGCTCCAACTCCCCCGCATGCAGCCCCGCCTCCAGCCCCACTCGCAAACTCAAAGTCCACAACTCTGCAAAAAAAACCTCCAAAATGGACCTTCGAAACTCCTTCGATCTTTCCGAACTTTCCAAACTTCCGTAATAAGGATCCACTCCACTCAGTGCCCACTTTCCCGCCGCCACCTGGCCATTTTGCAAAACAAAAAACAATTTTTTGTTTTTATTTTTAGCAAATTCAACTTTTTCTTCATTATTTAGTTTTGAATTGACTCAGCTACTTCTTTGTTATTTACTTTAAAGTAAATTGAACTGCTTGTTGGTCATTTAACTTCGAACACATTCAATTGTGGGGTTGTTATTTGCTTTTAAAATAATCCAACTGTTTATTTACTTTCCTTATTATTTACTTTTAAATAGATTCAATTACTTTATTTATTATTCATTTTCAACTTCATCCAACTCTTCATCTTTTTGTCCATTTTAAAATAAATTCAGTAGTTTAATTACTTATCAGATTAAACAATTTGATTCTTTATTCATCCTCAAATAAATTCAACCATTTTATTCATTATTCATTTAAAAACAAATCCAACCATTTAATCAATTTTTGGATTTCAGACAGCAGCAGCAGCAGCAGCAGCAGCAGCAGCAGCAGCAGCAGCGGGTGCCGCGAGAGCTGTGCAGCTGACGGGGCCAGCAAAGGGCCTTGCTTTGCTGCAGTTAGGAGACAAAAGAAAAAAATAAAAAGAAACAAAAAGGAAATTAAAAAAGGCAAAAAGGGACAAAAGAAAAGAAATAAGAAAAGAAAAAAAGAAGTTAAAAGA